CCTGGAGCAGAGGGCACCGCGGTCTCAGGCCCTGGCACTGCTTGGCGCTGCCTGGAGCAGAGGGCACAGTGGTCCCAGGCCCCGGTGCTGCCTGGAGCAGAGGGCACAGTGGTCCCAGGCCCCGGTGCCCAGGTGCTGCCTGGAGCAGAGGGCACAGTGGTCCCAGGCCCTGGCACTGCCTGGCGCTGCCTGGAGCAGGGGGCACAGTGATCCCAGGTCCCGGTCCCAGGCCCTGGTGCACTGGCACTGCCTGGAGCAGAGGGCACAGCAGTCCCAGGCCCTGGCACTGCCTGGCGCTGCCTGGAGCAGAGGGCACAGCGGTCTCAGGCCCCGGTGGACTGGCACTGCCTGGAGCAGAGGGCACAGCGGTCCCAGGCCCTGGCACAGCTTGGGCTGCCTGGAGCAGAAGGCACAGTGATCCCAGGTCCCGGTCCCAGGCCCTGGTGCCCTGGCTCTGCCTGGAGCAGAGGGCAGAGCAGTCTAAGGCCCCGGTGCGCTGGCGCTGCCTGGAGCAGAGGACACAGTGGTCCCAGGCCCCGGTCTGCTGGCACTGCTTGGAGCAGAGGGCACGGTGGTCCCAGGTCCCGGGGCCCTGGTACTGCCTGGAGCAGTGGGCACAGTAGTTCCAGGCCTCGGTGCCCTGGCACTGCCTGGAGCAGAGGGCACAGCGGTCCCAGGCCCTGGCACTGCCTGGAGCAGAGGGCACAGTGGTCCCAGGCTCCGGTACCCTGGTGCTGCCTGGAGCAGAGGGCACAGCGGTCCCAGGCCCTGGCACTGCTTGGCGCTGCGTGGAGCAGAGGGCACAGTGGTCCCAGGTCTCGGTCCCAGGCCCCAGTGCGCTGGCACTGTCTGGAGCAGAGGGCAGAGCAGTCTAAGGCCCCGGTGCTCTGGCGCTGCCTGGAGCAGAGGACACAGTGGTCACAGGCCCCAGTGAGCTGGCACTGCCTGGAGCAGAGGGCACAGCGGTCCCAGGCCCTGGCACTGCCTGGAGCAGAGGGCACAGTGGTCCCAGGCTCCAGTACCCTGGCACTGCCTGCAGCAGAGGGCACAATGGTCCTAGGCCCCGGTGCCCTGGCACTGCCTGGAGGAGAGGGCACAGTGGTCCCAGGCCCCGGTGCCCTGGCACTGCCTGGAGCAGGGGGCACAGCGGTCCCAGGCCCCAGTGAGCTGGCACTGCCTGGAGCAGAGGGCACATTGGTTCCAGGCTCTGGCACTGTCTAGCGCTGTCTGGAGCAGAGGGCACAGTGGTCCCAGGCCCCGGTGCCCTGGTGCTGCCTGGAGCAGGGGGCACAGCGTTCCCAGTTTCTGGCACTGCCTGGTGCTGCCTGGAGCAGAGGGCACAGTGGTCCCAGGCCCCGGTCTGCTGGCACTGCCGGAGCAGAAGGCACAGTAGTCCCAGGACCCGGAGCCCTGGCACTGCCTGGAGCAGTGGGCACAGTAGTCCCAGGCCCTGGCACTGCCTAGAGCAGAGGGCACAGTGGTCCCAGGCTCCGGTGCCCTGGTGCTGCCTGGAACAGAGGGTACAGTGGTCCCAACCCCTGGCACTGCCTGGTGCTTCCTGGAGCAGAGAGCACAGTGTTCCCAGGCCCCGGTCTGCTGGCACTGCCTGGAACAGAGGGCACAGTGGTCCCAGACCCCAGTGCGCTGGCGCTGCTTGGAGCAGAGGGCACAGTAGTTCCAGGCCCCGGTGCCCTGGCGCTGCCTGGAGCAGAGGGCACAGTGGTCCCAGGCTCCGGTGCCCTGGTGCTGCCTGGAGCAGAGGGCACAGCGGTCCCAGGCCCTGGCACTGCCTGGAGCAGAGGGCACAGTGGTCCCAGGCTCCAGTACCCTGGTGCTGCCTGGAGCAGAGGAGAGGGCACAACGGTCCCAGGCCCTTGCACTGCCTGGAGCAGAGGGCACATTGATCCCTGGTCCCCATCCCTGGCCCCGGTGCCCTCGCGCTGCCTGGAGCAGAGGGCACAGTAGTCCCAGGCCCCGGTGCCCTGGTGCTGCCTGGAGCAGAGGGTACAGTGGTCCCAGGACCTGGCTCTGCCTGGCGCTGTCTGGAGCAGAGGGCACAGTGGTCCCAGGCCCCGGTGCCCAGGTGCTGCCTGGAGCAGAGGGCACAGCGTTCCCAGTTTCTGGCACTGCCTGGTGCTGCCTGGAGCAGAGGACACAGTGGTCCCCGGCGCAGGTGCCCTGGTGCTGCCTGGAGCAGAGGGCACAGTGGTCCCAGGCCCCGCTGCGCTGGCACTGCCTGGAGCAGGGGACACAGCGGTCCCAAGTCCTGGCACTGCCTGGAGCAGAGGACACAGTTGTCCCAGGCCCCGGTGCCCTGTCACTGCCTGGAGCTGTGGGCATTGTAGTCCCAGGCCCTGGCACTGCCTGGAGCAGAGGGCACAGTGGTCCCAGGCTCTGGCACTCCCTGGCGCTGCCTGGAGCAGAGGGCACAGTGGTCACAGGCTGCAGTGTTCTGGTGCTGCCTGGAACATAAAGCACAGTGGTCCCAGGCTCTGGTGCCATCACACTACCTGGAGCAGAAGGCAGAGTGGTCCCAGGCCCCGCTGCACTGGCACTGCCTGGAGCACAGGGCACAGTGGTCCCAGGCCCTGGTATTGCCTGGCACTGCCTCGAGCAGAAGGTACAGTGGTCCCAGGCCCTGGCTCTGCCTGGTGCTGCCTGGAGCCTGGAGCAGAGAGCACAGTGGTCCCAGGTTCTGGCATTGCCTGGCGCTGCCTGGAGCAGAGGGCACATCGGTCCCAGGCTCTTACACTGCCTGGAGCAGAGGGCACAGTGAATCCAGGTCCCCATCTCTGGCCCCGGTGCGCTGGCACTGCCTGGAGCAGAGGGCCTAGTGGTCCCAGGCTCCGGTGCCCTGGTGCTGCCTGGAGCAGAGGACACAGTGGTCCCAGGCCCCGGTACCCTGGTGCTGCCTGGAGCAGAGGGCACAGTGGTCCCAGGCTCTGGCACTCCCTGGTGCTGCCTGGAGCAGAGGGCACAGTGGTCCCAGGCCCTGGCACTGCCTGGTGCTTCCTGGAGCAGAAGGTACAGCGGTCCCAGGCCCTGGCTCTGCCTGGTGCTGCCTGGAGCAGAGGGCACCGCGGTCTCAGGCCCTGGCACTGCTTGGCGCTGCCTGGAGCAGAGGGCACAGTGGTCCCAGGTTCTGGCACTGCCTGGCGCTGCCTGGAGCAGAGGACACAGTGGTCCCAGGCCCCGGTACCCTGGTGCTGCCTGGAGCAGAAGGCACAGTGGTTCCAGGCCCCGGTGCCCTGGCACTGCCTGCAGCAGAGGGCATAGTGGTCCCAGGCTCCGGTGTGCTGCCTGGAGCAGAGGGCACAGTGATCCCAGGTCCCCGTCCCTGGCCCCGGTGCGCTGGCACTGCCTGGTGCTGCCTGGAGCAGAGGGCACAGCGGTCCCAGGTCCTGGCACTGCTTAGAGCAGAGGGCACTGTGGTCCCAGGTCTTGGTACACTGGCTCTGCCTGGAGCAGAATGCACAGTGGAAGCAAAGTACTCCTTTGCTCTCAAGGCCCCTGGAGACTCCAGGCCGAGCAGATGGGCCTCAGCTGGAAGCTTTGGTGCTTTGGTTTTCACAGGTGAGCCGTGTTTCGGAATCAAGGAGAACACGTGAAGCTAACTAGGAAAGCAGGACGTTCTTCTCGGGTCTTCGGCCCTCCCCGCACACATCGCCTCTAGTTTACTAAGACATTTCCGTCTGTTTTTACTCCGAGAAGATCTCTCTCCCATTTAGAAACATGATGCAGTCGCCTTGTGGGAGAGAAAGGGCATTTTAACTTAAGCCACTTGGGTTCTGAGAGCTAGTTTTATGATTTTGAGGAGGTACCAAGGCTCCATCTACAGCCAGGGGCTCAGAGCTCCACCTGGACCTCCTCCAGCTGAAGTAGGGCCCGGCAGGCCCTGCAGCCCTCCCGTGTGAGGGCAGGTGCGCTGGCGCGTGGGCCACTCCCTGCCGCAGGTGCTCAGCGGGTGCTCAGCGGGATGCGAGGGGGCGCAGCAGGGGCTTAACGAGCCCCACGTGCTACAACGCCCACTCTCAAAGTTCTTAAGCTCATTTTCTTCCTCTCACTGCTGTCCCCAAGACAGCAAGGACTGTTAAAAACAGATACCAAGAAACACCGCCTTTTTCTAAGAACAATTTAATTTCACCCTGCGATCATAGAGCAGGATTCAGTTTTCGAAGAACTGAGGCCGAGTTCCTAACATGCCTTTGCCACGGTGTCTGATGCCAGGGCTACGAGTCTAAATACCCACCCTCTGGCCACGCCGGGAAGCCCGTTTCCCTTCCACAAGCGATTCCAGGGGTCTTCTCAGGGTATCTGTCTGCAGGCTGCAGGGACACGCTCGGAAGCTTCCAGAGGCAGCAAGGCTGCTTCTGAAGCTTTAAAGAAGTTAGTTCAAGGAAAACGTGCACTATGAAAACAGCTATGCACGGATTTCAAACTTTTCCCACCAAAACGAAATCATCTTTCAAGTTCCATTTCCCCGAACTTTGGGAAGCGCCCTGGTGGCCGTGTAATTTCAGCCATCTTCTATCAAATCAAGGAAGCAACACGACTTGGCAAACACACAATGAGACCCACGTTGCAGTCGAGATTCGCAACCCATGTTCTCCACTAAGAAAAACAAAACAAAGCAAACAAACAACCCAGCCCGCGTCGCTCCCCCAGAGTCAGAGGGCCGCTCTGAAAGCACCTGCCTCGGCCACCGTGTCCACTCCAACCACGCTGGCCTGGAACTCTTTCCTGGGTGGCCGGCAAGTCCCATGAGACAGCTGTCCCAGGCCGGAGCCGACCCAGCTCAGACGTCCGAAATCCTGCCCGAGCCCTGAGCGGCTTCGCTCGGGCACCAAGCGCAGCGGCGCCCTTCGACCCTCCTGTTTCCCTCCCGGCTCCGTTTCCCTCCTTGCGTCCCACCCCAATGCACCGCAGCGGTCCCGAGCGCTGCCCCCGTGGGACACCCACGGCCCGCACCCCCTCCCACGATCGGCGCGGCCCGCACTCACCCACGCGCGGCCCTCCTGCACCGCCGACAGCACTTGCAGGGCGCTGGGCGAGCTTGCGCGGAAGTTGAAGAAGTGCAGCGCCGCGCGGGCCGCCTGCTGCAGGAGTCCGCGCTGGGCGCCCACGGGCACCGCCGTCGCCTGGAGGCCGAGCAGCAGCGCCAGCAGCGCCAGCAGCCGGGCGGCGGGGCGCGGGGGGCGCGGGGCCCCTCGCCGGGGCGCGGGCGGCGGGTGCCGGCGGGGCTGCATGGGCGCGAACGGACGCGGCGCTCCAGCGACCCGGGCTCGGAGCGCGCGGCACCGGGGCGCGCGGAAATAGGGCGGCCGCGGCGCCGCCCCCCGCCCCCGGCCCGCTCGGCCGCGCCCTCGCCGGGGACCCTCCCCTCCGCTCGGGGCCGGGACGCGGCGGCCCTCGGGGAGCGCCTGGCGGGGCCGCGCTGGGGACGCCACCCCGCGCCCCGACCCCGCTCGGGAGCCGGCTCTCGGCTGCGCGGAGGGGCGAGGTCGCAACCGGCGGCTTTTCGCGCGAGGGCGCGCGGGTTCCGCGAGGGCTGGGCTGTGATTTGTCAGCAGGTGCAGGAGGCGAGCTCGCGGGGCGGGAGAGGGAGCCACCGGGGCCGCGGTGGGCGCGGGGATGCGGCGGCGCGCGGGCCGGTTGGGGTTGCCGAGGCCGCCGGGTTAACTAGGGATGCGGTTCTTAAGGCAGTGGAACCAGGGAGGGCTCAGAGGCCAGAGCCTATCCTGCCGGAAGTCGCCAGTACCTTCGTGGTGTTCAGGGCTGCCCCTTCCCCAACACCCGCAGACCCCAGCCCCGCGGTGGGGCTAAGACATCCCTTCTGGAAGTGAGTGGTTGAGATTTGGGCGAAGCCTTGGTGGGGTAATGGCTGTGGATAAGGTGCCATCTCGCTTCTAGAAACACCTTCCTTCCTTCTCCCATTTACTGTTTCCATCGTCCAGCCCCTGTTCGCGTTTCCTTCTGACTAGGGCCTGGGATGGTGAGGGGGAGCACCCGTGGTCGCGTTACTGCTGTCCCCAAGCACAGCTTCCCACGCTGGCCCAGGCAGCCGGCCAGGGGATGGGCCACAAGCTGGCTGCGGAGGAGAGGGTGGAGAGAAAGCTGGGGCAGGAATGGGAGTTGAGAGATGTCTGTCTGCTTTCGCAGCGTGGACAGGGAGCCCTCGCTGGAGCGGTGGTGTTAGACAAAAGATAGGAGAGAGTTAAGTGGGCATGTGGGTGTGCAGTGTCCCCCGGGCAGAGGCTGGAAGCCCTTGTTCCATCTGCTAGGTCAGAGTGGGCCAAGTTAACAATCCCCAGCTGCAAGAGAGCTTAAAAAGGCACCACTTGGAGCCCAATCGCAGCCTGGTCTCCCTCGGGCCCTGGGCGGGCTTTCACCTGTGAGCCTGGCTGCCTGTTCTCGCACACAGGCCGCAGGGGCAGCCCGGGTGAGGCAGTGCCCATGTCCGCACCTGCAGGCCATCTCAGGGACGGGGCGTCAGTCTGTGGCAAGCTCAACCCTTGGCAGACCAACCAGCTACTCCCACAGCGTGCTACCTTCCCGAATCTTCCATGAACATGCTCCCACCTCTGCAGCACCCGCGTGAGCCCCAGACCGTCCTAGCCCCTTGATTTGGCGCTGGGGCTAGGGTCTCACTTTCTGTAGTGATAACGATTTCAGTTTGTGCCAATTATGCTGATCAAAAACACAAAATTTGAACCCAGCACAGTAGCCTAGTGGCTAACGTCCTCACCTTGCACGTGCCAGGATTCCATATGGGAGCTGGTTTGTGTCCTGGTGGCCCCATTTCTCATCCAGCTCCCTGTTTGTGGCCTGGGAAGGCAGTTGAGGATGGCCCAAAGCCTTGCGACACTGCACCTGCGTGGGGGACCTGGAAGAAGCCCCGGTCAGCTCAGCTCTGGCTGTTGCAGCCAGTTGGGGTTAGCAGATGGAAGATCTTTATCTTTCTATTTCCTTCTGTCTATGTATCTGCCTTTCCAATAAAAATAAATCTTAAACTAACACCACGGGTCGGCGTGGTGGCCTAGCAGCTACAATCCTTGCCTTGCACATGCCAGGATCCCATATGGGCGCCGGTTCTAATCCCAGCAGCTCCACTTCCCATCCAGCTCCCTGCTTGTGGCCTGGGAAAGCAGTCGAGGATGGCCCAAGGCTTTGGGACCCTGCACCCATGTGGGAGACCTGGAGGAAGTTCCTGGCTCCTGACTTTGGATTGGCGCAGCACCAGCCGTTGCAGTCATTTGGAAAGTGAACCATCGGATGGAAGATCTTCCTCTCTGTCTCTCCTCCTCTCTGTATATCTGACTTTCCAATAAAAATAAAATGAATCTTTAAAAAAATCCACAAAATTTTCATTTGCAGCATTCATCTGAAAACAGGGATTTTGTGGAAGAGAGAATGCTTCCTTCTGTGAGAACTGTCTGCTCTCCCTCTTTGCTTATCGGTGGTGACGTTGGTTTCTGCTTGGTTGGTAGAGGCTTGTTCTGTACTGGGACACCAGGCCCTGGTCTGACAGGTGAGCCGGACACATAGCTAACATTTGTCTCAGTTTGTAGACCGTGGTTTATTTTTCTTTTATGTATACAGATTGTTCTTATTGGCCAGATGCCAGCATGTTGCCCATTGCACACAATGTCATCCCAAATGCCTGTGGGGCAGTTTGAGTTGTAGCACTTCTCGCCCCATCTTTCCACCTTTATTCCTCTGTGAGAGAGGAGACAGACTGGGCCAGCAGGTTCTGGTGGGCCCCCAGAAGGAGAGTTTCCCCACAAGAGAGCCCTGGCTTGTCGCCGTTCCTCGTTCCTTAGGCATTGCTTTGGCAATTAAGACAACTTGATTTGGCTTAAGAAACAGTGCTGTTTTTTAAAAGCATTCTTATTTTTCATACTAGAAGGCCTAGCGATTCTTCCCCTCCCCTCTTCTTCCTCCCTTTCTATTTTCTCCTCCCATCTCTCCCTTCCCCAGTCCTTTAGTAATAGTTGTAATTTTAACATTCTATTTAAGTGTGCCATGGCATTGTAAGCTGTGGCGACATAACTATGTGAAAGATGCTCAGGACTGAGTGAGAGAGAGGGGGCTGGCATTACCCATGTAGTGGGCCATTTGCAGTCTGCCTCAGCTTAAAGGCACAGGTCGTGTGGCCCCGCTGTTCCACCTGCAGAGTGCTCAGAGTAAACTGGACACTTGGTACAGCAAACACTGCAGGATCTTCCCCTGGCCTGGGCACTGTCACCTCCTCCAGGACAGACACACTGACAGCTTGCTCGCGACGTGCCTGGAAACAATGCCTGGCACCCAGTGTGTATTTTGAAAGACTAAGGGGCTGGTGGGGGCGGGGGGAAGCCCCAAGATCTGTAGCTGAGCACATATGGAAACTGTGTGGAGTACCATGAGTCTTGATGAAGTGCCAGCTGTGTAGCTATGGACTCATAATGAAGACGTGGTGTTGTGCTCAGCCAGGCACAGAATGGGGCCAGCAGTGGGTGGGTGTGTGCTGGAAAAGGGACAGAGAACATCCCCTCACTTGTGGCCACCTGGGAGCAGGCAGTGCCCATCTCAGAAACACTGGGCAGAAGTTGGTGACAAGATGGAGGAAGGGCATGGAAGAGAGATTTTTTTCACCACATACTCTTCTGCAGTGGGGGTTGTTGCTTTTTTGCAATGTGTATTACCCTAGAGAAATCAGTACACAGAATGCTATTTTTAATCTTTTAAAGGATTTTTTATTTGAAAGGCAGATTTCATGGGCGTTGAAGGAAAGATAGCGAGAGCGAGGGCTCTGCTAGTTCACTCCCCAAATGGCCACAGTGGTTGAAGCTGATGTGAAGACAGGTGCTTCCTGCGGGTCTCCCACGTGGCTGCAGTGGCGCTGGGGCTGGAGTCAGCCTCTGCTGCCTTCCCGGGTCACAGGCAGGGAGCGGGGCTGGAAGTGGAGCAGCCAGGACACGAACCAGTGCCCACCCGGAAGGCTGATGCATTAGCTTGTTATGCCACTGCCTCAGCCGCTAGTTTTAACTTTGGTGCCACGTGCGCTCTCTCTTCTAGATCTGTGAATGCGTGATCAGTGTGCTGACTCGTGCTTCCAGTCCTGTCCCTACTCTCTACTGCTCTGGGGGCTCTGGACCTGCCTTTCATCCCAACCCCTCCTGCCCCTGCAACTTTGTCATGTAGTTCAGGCTTGGCTTCCCACCTGCTGGGTTTCACTTGTTCATGCTGTCCTTTTGCCCCAGGCCCAGTCATGTTTCCCATGTTAAACCTTCCAAGAAAGGAGCCTGAGGACCTGCTGGCAGTGAGTGCTGTGTGGAGGAAGAAGGGTACCCATCCTGCGTGCCCATCCTCAGCAGAGGATGTGAGAGGAGCAGGGAGACTCAGGCCCTGAGAAACCCCAGGAATTGGTGAGGCTGGGGCAGGGGGCTGTTCGCTGTTTCTTGCGGTACTGCTGTGCTGGTTTATAACCTTGCCTGCTTCCCTCCTCCACTGCTGGGTGCCCCTGGAACCAGAGGCCATGCCTGACACCTCTCCCCTCACTGGGCACTGTGATGAGTTCTGGGATAGGCTGAGAACCGGGCTGAGAGGAAGGAGTCTGGGAAGGGCTGGGAGGACGATGGATGGTGGGCTCGGAAGGAGGCTCTCTGGCTACTTTGCGGGCATATGCTTGCCACCTGGTCCCATCCTGCTGCACCCGTGAGACGGAACCTGTGCACCAAGCTCCAGATGCAGCCAGCTCAGTGGGAAGGGAGTTAAAGCATTGGCGGATGGGGCCAGTACAGTATCATGGCCCCTAAATCCTGCCCCAGCTGAAGCCTGCCTCATTGCTAGAATCAACTTACTCTCGCTTAAGTCAGTGTGAGAGTGCATCTGATGTTGACTGAAGGTTTCTAGCAAATTGCAGGCAGGTAGTGCTGGCAGGAATCATGAGATACCAGGATGCCCTGGCTGGGGACCACCACAACTGTCTCCCACCCATCCCATCGCCCTCCATCCTACCCACTTTGGGCTGAATCAGCTTGAGAGGGCACACTTTTTTTTTTTTAAAAAAAGATTGTATTTTTACTGAAAGAAAAGGAGAAATCTCTTCCATCTGCTGGCTTACTTCCCAAATGGTCACAATGGTCAAAACTGAGCCAAGTTGAAGACAGGAGCCCAGGGAGTCTTCCGCTAGGCCTCCCACACGGGTGCAGGGTCCCAAGGCTTTGGGCTGTCCTCCACTGCTTTCCCAGGCCACAAGCAGGAA